TATTCTCGAAGTATCCGTTGTATGCTTTAACAAGTCAGTTCGCTAAATTGCATCGGGATCGAAATGATGTAATGAAAACGAAAGTAAAAGCAGTAAAAACTGAATAACTTCAAATCTCTATTAAACCAATGTTTATGTCGCAGATTTAAATACATGAATAAAATACCTTCAACATACTTTACAAAAGACCTTCAATTAACGCGTAAAACACTGTGCGATATCAATTCATACAACTGTATGCTTAACTGCGTAGAACACGTTTCACGATCAGATGCGAACCAGTTTAATTACTGCGAACCAGGTTTTAAAAACTGTTTGAAACTGTGAAGTCGGATTGTAGAAAGCTTCTAGAAATAAATAAGCATAAATGACTTGCTTATTTAAGTTGAATTTAAATTTACAGTTTACCGTGGTGTTAAATAGGGATTTCTTTGTTTAATCTATACTTATTTTACTGAAATGAAATTAGCTAGAGTGATTTGCTGCAGAACTACCTCCCAGAATTCCAAAACGCGCAAGCGCATTTGAAGTTCTTCGTATCATAACTAGTCAGCCCGCGGGCTGACTAATCAGGTTGCAAACTCATTTATTGTTAGATCGTACCAAGTTGTTTCGTACCACAATATATATACGAGGACTGTTCGGAAATTATTGAGAAAATTACATTTACTCCATAAAGGACGAAGATAATTTCAGGAAAATTCATCAACATTTCATAAAGAACGACTATAACACTTATGCAAAATTTGTAATTCATATGATAATAAGAAAAGTTTCGGTGAAATTATAACCATGAATATGTCAATCGACCCGGAGCAGAATCACTACGTCATTTTAACGTCGCGCCAGCCAGGGATAGTTCCGCATGTAAAACGACCGGGAAGCGTTAAATCTTTTTCCTTTGTTATTACATATATTAGTACAAAAATCAGACATTCTCTTTTTTAAACTATTCCTTTAAAATGTATGCTGTTGCTACCCGAGTGTAATATTTTCATTTGTGGGTAAAGATGACTTAAAATCATGCTGTGCCAATTTATGCAACGAGGATCAACGACATGATACCGTAACGTTAACGATATTAATTCCGAGCGTAATAACTGATGGTAGTCCGGGGCTTTTGATTTTACTCTGGTTGAATTAATTATATAAAAAGAAATGTATACCAATGGGATAAGAAAACCCTAACACATTATTCCTTCTCGTAGTTATTATTTTAGCAGGTCGATGTGTCTAGAAAAGAGTTCAAAATTGCACTATGCAAAATTTTAGTTAGTTCGCTGCTCCGCCATTGACGTCAAAATCCATTTTTTCGTTTTTAGCAGATTTCTATGACGCGCTTAATTTTTTTTTTTATGATCTCCGCATTCCTGATCAAAATTCTATCAAAGTTGCACAACATGAATTTGAATTAAAGCTGAAAAATTATATCTATAAACAGAATTATTGTTGCTCTTATTATGGGTCCACGAAGAGTAAGAACGTCGGTGTTACATATTTTCAATACTTTATTTCGAGACTGCTCCGGGTACCCCTACTGATAACACATTAATATACCATTGTACAGAAAATATTTGATATTTGTAAAATGTTTTTTGTTTTTATTAATTCTTAATGTATGTCAAACAGATATGCAAATTTTCACCGAAAGACATTCAATAGAAAGCAAAATATACACAATGTCTCAATAATTTTCGAACAACCCTCGTATTTATAGTTATTCACTATATAAAGTAGTTCGAAAATCATAAGTTAAATATTTTGAATACCTTTCTCAAAGTCAGCCACAAAGGTGGGCACTTGGGGTAGATCAGAGGTGATTCTGAAAAATCTGAAAATAATATAAAAGCAGATTTACTAAAAGCAGTTGAAAGAACATTAGATGGTTTTAAACAAAATAGTTTATTTAAATATGAATGATTCTAATTACCGGGGTACTCTAGTATTCACTGCGTGAAAATTTGGCTTTACAAAACAAGTAAAGATAATGTAAATTTATTATTTACAATGCCTTTAATTGGCTTTTCTGAAAAAAGTCAAAGTTGGAAAAGGTAACCTTTACATTAACTTAACATGCACTAAAATATGATGTAATGTTCCACTTTTTCTTGACTTTACAAAAAAGTAAAGTTAACATTTACAACAATTAAACACAGTATTTAGGAAATATTAAATCTGATAATTACAAATCTTAAATCTAATTAAATACCATCTTTAATAACCACAATCTGATAATTACAAACCTTAAATTTAATTGAATACCATCTTTAATAACCACAAAAGTTAATAATTTCCGTTTTCCATTCCAGTGAATGAAGCCTTATTCAAATTATGAATAAGTTTTCCTTCCAAATTGATAAGTTGCGGAAATGTAAACATCATAATTAATATACATATTAAGAAAAAGCTGACTTTAACTTTGTTTATTACAATACAAAACATTTTTTTTTACAAACATAAAATCAAAATCATCAAGATTCTTGGCAGTATATGGTGCCCACATCCTATCCTGCAAATTACATACAAATCAAAGACAGAGTTCATTTCACTAATATGTTTTTGTATGTGACATGTTTTATAATAAAACCAACTGTTCATTCTTGAATTTAATGTTGCGAATCAACATAAAACTATTTTATGTCCTCTTTCTTGTTGATATTGGTTTTAGTGGAAATCAACAACTGTCAAAATGTTTTTGTCACACCTCCCTTTTCAGAGTTCAAAACTTTTCTCCCCATGCAGGCATTTTCCTAATGCTTTTCCTAAAAGAAAAAAAAGTATTTTTTTTTTTCAGTGCCATGCATAAGTATGAATATTTTCAATGGCTTTTTGTTATCAGAATTCACAATACCATGATAAATAAAACTAAAAACAAGCCACAACCTTACTAATAAATAAACAGTTCATACATGACCTTTAACCTCAAAAAGCAAAAAATGTAAATTTATTAATCTAATAATATGAGTGGAACTCTTGTTATTGACATATTATATGAAGAATCAATGGGTTAGGTCATGTATCCCTTATCACAAAAAGCCTATAAATTAAAATTTGAGAAATATATATTTTTTAAGGGTACTACACAAAAACAAAGAATAAATCCCTGAAATATTGAGAAATCATAGGTTTCCTGACTACTCAGTTGTCAGTTTACAAAGAGAACAATATTGTGCTACATACCGTATAAGTAGAATTTTTGGCGAGGATTTAATTTTGGCATTATTAGCGAGGGTTTTGAGATGGCTAAAATTAAATATTGCTAAAAATTAATTGCGTTTTATTTGTATTAGTTTCTCAAATGTGCATTTTAAAGTCCCTAAAATAGCATCTCGCTAAAAATAAATTACCAGTTTTAAAGGACATTTCCACTTATACGGTATTTAATTTAGCTGTACATGTATACAGAATGATACTGAAGTTATGGTTTAGGATATATGTACCTTTTTCCCCAATCGCATGTTTCAGCTAATGACCTTTTTCCTGATATGGAACAGTAAAAGGACTTTAGGTGAGAGTCCCTCAAATTGAAAATGACAATCATGCTGAAATAGAATTCATACCGTGATTAACATTTTGTACATATGGACAAATATAGTCAATATTATTTTTTTTTAATTATGAGTTTGAAGCAAACTGCTGCACTTGGTCACCAGAGAATGAATTGATTTTGAAAATTAATACACAGTGCAATCACAAATAATAGCTATGAATTGACAAACACCCTTAAGTTATTTTTTATCAAGAATAATCTAAATTTAGTTCTAAACAATACTTGCCATTTATAATATGAAAGTTGAGAACCAGCCTCTTCTTCATGACAGATCTTTTAATTTTCTCATGGTAGGCTGAGTAGCTTGAGACTATACAAAGGAAATTGAACATTTTTTTTTTTACAAATATATGACGATATTGACTCCCGAGCAATTCAAGCACTAAATAATGTAAATGTTTGTTCAAGTAACAGATTTCATGAAATTTATTAATAAATGTGTTTGTACCAAAGAACACTGGGATCCCCAATCTTGGTAATCATGTTTTGTTGTCTTCCTTGCCCCGTCTTGATGTTTTCCCTTCAATAATCTGCATACTGAATTCAATATACCTGTATTTTAAGAAAATGGACACAGTTTAAAATACAAAATGATATAAATAAAAATAAATAAACTCTCAAAGTTGAGAGTATATGTACATTTATATAGGTTAGTATATATAGGTCCCTGATAGGTGTAGTACTTTTCGTACAACATTATTTTTCTTGCCTAATCAAAATCTTTATTAATGCAACTTTTAGAGTGTAGTTAACATGGTTAATGTAGATACAATTTTTTTAAAAATATTTTACATTTATCAATCCTGCAGAAAAGCCCCTATGATTCATACACCTTAACAGAATAAAGTGACGCATATAAACATTTAATCCTAGAATTATCAAAAGTACTTATCTAATATCCTTGCAAAAATAACATACAAAGCGTCGTTTTCCGTGACTTTGATTAGTTTCATTCTTTCACAACATGCACAATGTACTGATCTGAAAGTGAAAGTAAAAACGGCTGGAAATCGTAAACAAACCTTTAGAGCATGTCAACCCGGGAGTTCGAGCAGTTGTTCAGGCAAGAATCTTCTTAAATCTAGATGAAGTGTCAAAAAATTACCACTGGTTTCAAACTTCGTCAAAATAACGATGCAGCCCCGCTCAACTTGATTTGAAATGATTGGCTATTCAACCGAATACACAGTGCCATATTTGGGTTACTGTTCAGAGTAGATCGTTCGTTTTACATTCGAGAAGTGTTTACATATTACTTGAATGAAGAGGATAACATAATACTGAGCTAAAAATTTTGTGTAAAGTATGTTTTCAGTTTAGTTTACAATACAAGCTGTAAATGTGCTGGAGATTATATTGATGTTGAAGCTTGTAAACAAAACCATAAAACGTAGGACTTATTCACGGCAATGTATGGGAACCAGAGCTGGGAACCAGTCTAGAAGGCAAAGAAAATTCCGCCAAGTCAACAACAAAGAAAGGGTTTTGGGATGTAGTCAGTTGTATACGTTATGTGGGCCGGTGACTGCAAGGTAATACATGTGTCTTATTTGTTGCGCATAATTTGTTTCATTTAATTATGGAAACTTATCCGTCCCAACCAGTGGCGTAGCATCGTTTTTTTTTTATTTTTTGAAAGTGGGGGGAGGGGGGCAGGCAATAAAGGGGTGGAGTTAAGGGGGAGGTTTAACTTTTTCTTGGTGGCAAGTACATTAAGTTCCAATTCTTATACTACATGTTTGGTACATTTTTAATAGTGTATGTTAGTTTTGGAGAAAAAGTGGGGGGGGGGGGGGCAAGCCCCCCTGGCCCCCCGGATACTATGCCCCTGCCAACACTGGCAGAAATATAACTAATCTGACTTCAAAATTCCTTCCCCTGTTCCCCGAAGTACATGTTACACTCTTCGCTCTCATTTTTTAAAAATATTCATTGTATATTTTTTTGCAGAAGCAAGGAATGTGGAGCTAATGCATGCTGCTAAGGATGGAAAGTTCTTGTGTTTATTGGTTGTTCCTGAGACACCAGTCACAGTTGTACCTTATTTCCATTTTAGGTAATGCCTTTTGATTTTTTTTAAGTAGAGGAACAATGCATTTAATTTTCATTCAATATGAAGCTTCGCTCTCATTTTTTAACAAATTTTCATTGTATATTTTTGTAGAAGCAAGGAATGTGGAGCTAATGCATGCTGCTAAGGATGGAAAGGTCTTGTGTATATTTGTTGTGCCTGAGACACCAATCACAGTTGTACTTTATTTCCATTTTAGGTAATGTCTTTTGATTTTTTTTTTACATTCAATATAAATGTAAAATTCTAGAGATAACTTTTTTCAACATTGTTGGATACTTACTACATGATTTTATCTAAAGAAAAGTATTTAAAATATTTCCTCACATTGTTTAAAGAGGCCAGGTATGGTGATATGGAGATAATTCATTTTTTATTCAAAATCTTATTTTCCATGCCATGCATTTGTACAGGGAGTCTATATACACTTGAGAGGTGAGCGTCAGATTTAATTTTGAAGATGGGTGACTTTCAAATGTTGTGATGAAGATTGTTGAAAGAGATTATCAACATAGAACCAATCCATTTGAATGTGCAAGTCAGGTGAGGATTGGACTTCAACATTTAGTCAAGAGATGTTTATATACTGCTAAGCTTAGTGAAAGCACACCATAAACATTTTAAGTATCTCAGTAAGTTTCATGGATATTACAGATGTATCACTATCATATGTTTGACATTGAGTCGCTTTGTCTAAATTTCCATTATGTTTAGTTATACATGTGTTGTTACTTAAGTATGTCTTCAAAAGCTTGTGCTTTAATTTCAATAGAAGTAATGAAAACCTATTTAAAATTGTATTTTTTTCTTTATAATTTTGAAAATTATTATTATTAGGACTTGTACAACACCTGAGTACCCAGATGACTGTTGAACTAATTGGTGAACAAGAAAAGATGTCAGAGAGGGGAATCCAAAACAGATGTCATGATCAAGAAAATGTACTGTTATCAATGATATGATCAAAAATTTGTAAACTTGTAGCGATTTAGAATATCTTATCTGTAATATAACTCTTCAATACTTAATTGTTCACACATTATCATCTTATCTGTATAATAATCGGGGCGATCTTATATAACCCCCTGCTGATTGTAATGCCCTGTGTATTGATTCCTGATCTTAAGGATCTTATACATGTAATGTGCTCCTGATCATCAGGAGCGGATCTTGAGTATATATATAGTGCGACAGAATTTTAGAATAAGATAGGAAGATGGAAATATAGAAGACTTAGTAGATAGAACTGTTAGAGATAGATAAAGTTACTTACTTACTTGGAATATAACCTAATATTTCTTGGATTTATATGTACATATGTGATTATTTAACTTGGATTTAATTTTTAGTGAATTATATTTCCTGAATGTTTCTATTTGTGATGTGCTGTGTAAATAAACTGTAGACTAGAATTTCGGCAAGATATGAGGAACAAGGATAAATTGATTTATTCATGCAAACTGACATTATGAAATGTGTTATAAGACTGCCTGATGCGGCGCTACAAACTAACTAGTAAATATCTTGGAGATTTATAGATGAACATGCAAGCATTCTTGGTTTTAAATGTTATTAATTCAGAGTTTTTGCTCAAATTCAATTTTTAGTACAGTAATTTAATTTAATTTAAACAATATTTTATTATGAAAAACATTTAAACTGGATGTGTGATTTTCAGTACAGTTATGTAAAATGAATATGTTACTTTATTTTGATTGTCAGTTTCTCAACAGGACATAATTTATTTTTTTGCAGAACAAAACACACAGAACTTTTTTTCTCTTTGTGCATCATACACTTGTAAATGTTTTACACCATCTTGGTTACATATTTTACATTTATGACGTGTAAATCAAGCAAACACATGAAAATACGTGAAGCTGGATACATATGCAAACATGCATCTACCATAACCTATTACATATTTTCCAAGGTGTGTGAAGTCGAGCACATACATGAAAATGTGTGAAGCTGGACACATACACAAATACACATGCATCTGCCACAACCTATTACATATTTTCCAAGGCGTGTGAAGTCGAGCACATACATGAAGATGTGTGAAGCTGGACACATATGCAAACACACAAGCATCTACCACAACCTATTACATATTTTCCAAGGCGTGTGAAGTCGAGCACATACATGAAAATGTGTGAAGCTGGACACATATGCAAACACACTAACATTTACCACGGACATAAAAACAAATCTAAACTTAATCAAGCACAGACAGGCTCATGGGGTGAAGCTGGACTCGTACATGATCTCATGCATTTTGCAAACTGCATCCCCGCATCTATTCTAATAGATTTTTCACCATATTTTGTGTTTGTGAATATGTAAAATGCATCATTTTGCATTACAAGTTAAAGATGTTATTAGCCTGTGTATAATAAGCGCAAATCAAATAGCCTTTTATGTAATTTTTTTCACATTTTTAATTCATTTTAAACTGCAAAGTTTATTTATATATGTACATGCACCATAAAGAATAAATATTGTACATGTATTAGTATTATATTTTAAAGTGAAATGAGACCTCCATTTCATAAGCAGAAAAGTGAAATTTATACTTGTCATCTGTATTTCTTTTTTTATTTTTCTCACATGTATCTGAATGTTTAAAGGAAAACAAAAGTCAAAGATAGCTCAATATAATGTTTATATTCAAGGTTAACTGGATATTGTTTGTGCTGTATTATATCTGACTCTTAATATTATGAGAAGCAAAAATACAGAATATTTTAGATCATTTTAGATTGGAAAATGAAAAATATCAGTATGCCAATTTTTCCCATTGTTATATTTTTAATTACTTTATCATTAATATCAATGTACATATTAAAGTTCTATGTCATCCAATTCAGAGAGTTGTAGGCAATCCTGGTGCAGATAATATTTTTTTCCTGTGTTTCGCAGTATAGCGGGAATACTTTGTATGCGAGGAATGTATATTAATGGTTTTGGTTGTATATGTAAGCGTTGCCAAAGAAAAGCCAATGAGAAATGAGTATTCAGTAATATGTTCATATCATTCTAAGCCAGTGCTCTTCAATACACACACAATTTTTTGGCTTTATATATATCATATTTGTATAAATATACTGGTAATGGAAATAACAAAACTGTTGAAATGTATTTTAATTTTGATTTTTTCATACATGCAAATATTATAGGATGTTCATGCATTTTTAACTATTGCACCGAATGCACGTCCGGCATTCTCCTTTGAGACATTATTTACATAGCGACGGACACAGGTTTTCCATAGTTAACCATCTATGGTTTTTGCCTGGGCGGTTTTTAATGTCAGTGATAGGGATACAATTTATTACATGTAAATTATTTTGCAAATGCATTGCAGTGCTTTATTGTTTCACATTCAGTGTAATGTATGTTAAAAATTTATGTTTTGTTACATGTATCAAAATAAACGCCAGCTGCTCCAACTAAGCTAACCAGGCTTACATCATAGGTGTTGTATTATTTGAGGTGTAGTCTGTCAAATAATGATGAGTCGAGTGTTTGAATCTGTAGATGACCATTTCTAATACTAATTTCCACTGGAAATGGATACAAGATAATAAAAACAATATATGACATATGTCTTAAAATGCTGGGTACTGACTAGATTAGATTCTTTAAACTAACTGTGAAAATCCAAAGAATAAGTGTATTAAACAATAGTCAGCATTTAAATAAGAATTTTCTACAATACAGACTGTATGTTTATTTAATGAACTTTAACATGGCATTAAAGGTGAAAGGTTATATTTAATTATCTTTTCGTGTAATTAAAGGTTACCTTTTCACCTTTACTTTTTGTAAAGTTAATACAAAGATGACCTTGCTTTTGGGTGCACCTTTAATGAAATTTACTTCACAAGTAAAGTTTTGTAAAGGTGTTTTTTCAAGCAGTGATTTCCTTTAAATATTCAAACAATTTAGTTAGACTTTCCGCAGCACAATCTCTCCTTTACCTCCTGAACAGGAGGCAGAAAACATGCAGGATCTGCTGGTAGCTGTCACCCTGCACAATAACGCATGGATCGACCACAGCTGTTGGAATGACAGTTTGCAAATGTAGCAATCCCGTGAGGGTTTGCACGAAGAGTACCTTCACGCCATATTCACCACAATACTGTGGTTTCCCTTGGAGCGATCACTGTTTTTGATGCAGACAAGTTAAGGTCATTTCTCTGGAGCTGGGAGAGTTCTAGTGAAACACCCAAAACTCCACAGGTCAGTTCTTCTAAACTGGTCTCTGAGCCAGGCACACCCATTGCTAAACGATCGTAAACTCTGACGCCACGAAAGGGGGATACCACACCGCAGTACTTTATAGACTCTTTTGCCAGAGGGATTTGATAGAATGCCTGTGCAAAGTCAGTTATTGCAATATATCTCATCATCATCATGATAGAAAGATCTGCTATTGTTTGGAATGTCCACACATAAACACACTGAGGGCACAATACCACATATTTGTTTATCCTTCTCGGTGGTTAAATTGGACCTCTCAATGTTAATAAGCCCTCTGCGATGGACCCTGCGTACTGCTGGAGTTGGCTGTTAGGTTCCAGAATGGGTACTATCGCCTTATCGTCCATGCATTGCATAAGACAGAAATCACTCCACTTATTAGCGGAAGTCCTCAATAGCAGATCATTGTAATAGTGTTAGCCAATAAAGAAACTTGATTTTCAAAGTTTATTAACTAAGTTTGATTGACAATTTCACCGTGATCGTCTAGATTTATAGTAAGCATTGTTGAATTTGATCCGTATAAACCAATCCACTGTTGATATAAATGTTCAAAGGATCCGTCCAAAATACAAAAAGCTGAAGACCAAATTCCAAATAAACAAAATTCTGTAAGAATTGCGAAGAAAGAATTGATTATTTGACAATAAGACTGGGGACTGGAATGCTTTTTCCTGAACAAAAAAGGATATTTTGTGGTCAGTTTGTATCCATGGTCCCGGATATAAAAATACATTTCGTTGGCTAACCCACCATCACTGACCACCTACCGGTATGCTTTGTCCGTTGACCTATAAACAAGAACATGCAGTTAAATGCAGTTAAATACTCCTTACTAATTTTAATGTCAAAACGGGTGTTATAACTCTAAGCTAATGAATGTTATATAAGTTTAAAATTTACATAATCTTTCAGTGACTCTACTGGAAGAAGTCAAAGTTCTAAAATTTCATTGACTCTACTGGAAGAAGTCAAAGTTCTAAAATGTGAATTTTACTAAATCTTTACTTCTCTGAAATATAATCTAATGTTTATTTTTTCTTGGCTTTACAAAACGGTAAATTGATATTTAATTGCATTAAATATTAAACATCTGTATATTTCAATCACCTTTAATTAAACAAAATGCCATTTTTATAAATGTTAAATTCAATCTTTCTCCTGCAAAAATTATTTCATTTTGCTATATGTGCATTGAAGTCATACGCAACGTAGTTTGAACTTTTTGGGGTTCTTCTCTGGAGTTGAAGAGTTCCAGTAAATGAAAGATCTGTGTGCAATAGGTTTAATATCTATTAATGGATTTGTGCACCTCTTCTTAAACAATTTTAATGAATTAAAATCTGGAATTTGTGTTTTATAATTTTTGTACATTTTTATTTTAATTATGCAAACATTTTCAAAATTCGATATCTTTTCAAAACCTCTGGTAAGGCATGCTGATTTTGTCTATGAACATGTAATTATAATGTTAGTTAAAGTTTGGAATACTGTCGTGTCTAGTTTCGACTGTATGTTTAACCTTGGGGAACTCGCTTGCAGTGAGGGACCCTTTTGACCCAGTCTCCTGTCCAGTACGGTTTGGGATGACTGTAAAATATATACAACCAGGGAAAGCGTAAATAAAGTGTAACTTGTTTTATTGCAGTCTCCGATCAGATCTTTAAAAGAAAATAGTCACCAGTTACAATAACTAAAAATATATAGGTTATGCTCAATGGCATTTGTAATATGACTGCAACCCCAAGAGGGGAATAATAAATTATTCTGCTCTTGGGACAGTCGGGTTAGAG